ACAAGAGTTACATTTACAGTGCTGGAGCAAATGTATATTGATGAAAAGTTAAGTTCTGTCAAAGTTTTGAAGAGTATTCGTTTATTCTGTTACCAATATTTATAGATGTTTTTAAGTTCATAAAAAGCACAAAAACAGTGGGGATTAACATTCTAGTGGGACATTGATATTGAATTCTATAATTATTAGAAGATAAGTATGACAATTGTAAAGGAAGTTTCAATCGTACACCAATGTGTTACCAGCTCTTATCACAAACACCTCTCAGAACAACTACATTTGATTCTCAGAGAATGCTTCGTTAGGACAAAATGGAACTGAGATTTAAAAAATACTTACATTAGAATCAATTTGGAGGATAACAATCGGCGAGGTCGAGATTTCAGTTGTAGAAAATATATGTGGAGCAATGTTTGGATAAACTGAGCATAGGAAATAACACACATAAACATATAATGATACCTCCTGACGAGTGGGTCGTCCTGGGTAGGACTTTAAACTACATTCGCGTCCTGGGTAAGACCATAAACTACATCCAGCAGTAAGGCCTCTGATCAAGAGGTTTTGAGGAGTGTGGAACCACATCTTAATTGCTGGTGTTCCCAGGTCCAACCTGAATTGGGGTGGTAGCACCTGTTAGGGTCCCAGATATGGGCAAATAGTTAACTATTACCAACAATACTTTTTGGAAAAATTATTACCAGCAATAGAATTTTGAAGGAAATATATTACCAGAAACAGATTTTTGACAAAACAAAATAGTACCAGCAATAAAAAATGTTGTCAGCATTAAATAACCCATTGAGGTTGATATGCCGTAAGATAAAATATACCAAACCAAACTAAACCAAAGAATACATATTCTATTCATACAAATCTATCTTAAAAATGTTGTCGGCATTAAATAACCCACTGAGTGGGTCGATACTACGTCGTTGACCAAACAATATATCCAGTTAAACGTACAGCTGTATTTAAAATAAACATGATTTTAATGTAACTGATATTTTACTTAACTGTATCCAATAATAATGCATGTAATATTCACATATTTGTACCGCGTTAACCATGTATATATATGTTAGTATATATATATATATATATATATATATATATATATATATATATATATATATGTATGTATGTATCCAAATAAAAAAAAAACGAAGAATAAGATTTTAGCGTTCAAAACATTTATTTAAAACAGGACTCAATACAAAAAAGTAGAACCGTAAATATTTATTTATCCTGCACTGTTGCATAAGAACATGTACATACCCACTACAAAACTGTATATATTGTTTCAACGTTAAATTTATTAACGTTTCATCAGATGGCAAATCAGTAGCATAGGGATTTGCCACCTGATGAAACGTTACTATTTTTTAACGTTAAAACAAGATTTACTGTTCTGTAGTGGGTATGTACATGTTCTAATGTATTAGTGCATGATATATATATATATATATATATATATATATGTATTATATTTTGGGGAACATCGGATATATATATATATATATATATATATATATATATATATATATATATATATATATATATGTAAATGTATTCGGTGTTCCAAAAAAAAATGACGTAATTAAAAATGTGAATATCTGAATAACTACATGTTCCAGGAAAACAAATTTAAAGAGGTTTCATACTGAATAATAAAAGAAAGTTTTCACTTGTCAGAATACAAAAGATATTCAAAGTGATGTAGATCTTATAACAAAGCTTCACAAATGTTCAATCTGCGAACCACCTGTTACACGACCCACGTGAAATCGGTAGTCCAGCTCCTGCCAAACACGCTGTAGTATGTCTTGCCTCATTCTTCAGCGACTCACTCATTCTATATTACTCTAGGCTTGTAGGAAAAGGGGGCGATATATAGACCTGTCTATTCACATAGGCCCATAGAAAAATCTCACAAGGTCTCAAGTCAGATGTACGTGATGCCAACAGATAGTTTTGCCTTTTTCCGTTTTTCATGGCAAATAGTCATGCCCTACACTAGGGTCAAAACACTATGAAAGTATAAAAATAGATTTGTATAATAAAAATACCAATAATACATTTTTGAAAAAAAATATATTACCAGCAATACCTTTGACGCTTGACAAAAATCCTCCTTACGTCAATTAAACCTGATTTCTACAAAATGATTTCTTACAAAGAATACATATTCTATTCTAAAAATCATGTCGGCATTAAACAACCAATGAGGTGTTCATATGACTTAAAACAAAATAAACCCAACCAATGCTAGTGCTTTTCAAAATGTATTCTTAATGCTTCTTATAAAGTGTATATTTGGCTGTTCATTGTAACTGCGTGCCTTGCATATTACTTTTGACAGGACAGGTACAATCTGGTTCATTTTTTTACTTAGTTTATTACCCTAAGAGCATTATTCTCCAACGAGATTAGAATTCGAACTCTGTTTCATAAATCACCAACAACTACACTACTTGACAGATAAAGAGACAGATAATCTCATTATTGAATTGACAGCTTAATTCCTCTCCCTGAACTACCACATTGATAATCGGACACACAGACAGAGAGATTATTGCAGTCACAGACAAAAAGGACACACCAACTTGAATACATGGACAATATGACAAAATAAAGAAGAAAGATGTCGGGGTAGATAGCAAATGTTAGTACAGATCGATTATGAATAAGAACTTGGGCAGTTTGCTGAAGGGAAACGAACGAAGGCAACTTTTCAACTTCGGTGGAATGACGTCAACCGAATTGCGGTAACGTCAGCACAAATGCTGTTACGTAATTGAGTGTGCCTGCGTGTCGGCTGCTACGTCTACCGTAGTCTTGTGACTGGAGAATATTTGTTCAAATGTATGTTGCCTGCTGCTATTTGCTCACTTCATTCTCTTTAATAAATGACACCCCAACTATAAAGATCTAGTCGACACTACAATATAGTAATCAAAAAAGTAGTTATAACCTGCAGAGTCAGCTAGTTGCATATAGTCGACAGGAAAAAAATAACGGTCACTGGCGTTCTCTCCTAGTTAACAAATAAAATTTTAAATTCTAATTTTCAGGAAGACATGGCCTAAACAATTATAAATATAGTTATTCACTACTATATTTGTAACGTTATTCTAGACCTCTAAACTGCGTTTAGTACATATATCTGTATGAAAAATAAACTAGTTGAAACGTGCCCACAATAAATCTTAATGTCAAAAGGAGGTCTTTTCCCACGACACCGCTTTTTAATTACATTTATTCTTCAGCAATGCTTATTTTTTTTAATGAAGGGATGATTAAATTTGGAATAAAACCTAAACATATAAAAGTGAATTTATAAATTTCTTTTGTTTTTGAGAATTTATAACAAAATAACAAAGACTTTTTATAAGATTGTTTATTTACGCTATTTATCTATTTATATTATTTATTGGAATTGTTTGGAAAACGTTGTATATTTGTCAATTGAATCAAACTTTATAAAATCGTAAATTATAAGGATTTTAGTAGTTTCACACATTTTAATAATTTAGAAAATATTTATAAATCTATGAATAAAAATTTGTCATATTTATTTCTTTATAAACTGGTAAATTATAAATATTATATTCCATTAATTATAATTTTATTAGTTTTTGAATGTTGTAAATAAAAGAATTCTTTTAAAGATACAATCTAATAAATAAGGATTCATATTTTTATTGTAAATTCGCAAGTCCCCACCCCCCAAAAAAAGAATATATAAATTCGCTTTTATCATATGTTTTGGTTTTATACCATTTCTAATCATCACTTTTTAAAACATTAAAAGTTAAACGTAATTAAAGACGGTGTCATGGGAAAAAAAGAAACAAAACAAAAAACTTCCTTTTGACACTACGTCTTATTGCGGGCTGGCTTGTCCATTTCTGTATTGGGTTTAATGTGGTAGCAAAGGTAATGCGTATTTCTCAGTAGTTTCGGAGGTCAGTGTTCGAATCTTACTCAAAGAATAAGTATTTGAATATTAGCTTTAAAACAGATTTTCTTTGCTTGGAATATTAGCCTAAACTATTCCTCTAAACTATTACCCAGGGTTTGGTTTCATGTTCTTGCAAAATAGGACCATAGATCTCTATCTGTAGTGAATGTTCCTTGCTGATTAGCTTAGTAGCAGGTTTCTAAACAAGAATGTGTTTTCGGTGTTAGAACTACCGTAAAATGCAAATATTTCGAATGCTGATTTTCATGGTTTGCAATCAGAATTCTTGTAAGATTAGAAGTTTCTTTACTATTGTTCATCATTCCTTGTTTAGGTGAATTATCACGTTGTAACACCGATTCTCGTATGAAGTTAAGCAATGTCGATCTGAGTCAGTACCTAGATGGGTGACCACATGGGAATACCACGTACTGTAAGCTTGGATGTTCGGTAGGTGTAATACTTAAGGTCTCGGAATTTGAAACGAGAGTACCAAGATTCATTTCCAGTTAGGTTCCGTTATATTAATATTATAATGCCATATAAGGTTGTAGTTTTTGTAATAATATTTCAAAGAAAAACACTGGAACAACAGATTAGTGAAAAAAAAAAAGTTTAATCGAATAAAATCTTATTACAGTAATAGCGTATACCTTAGTTAGTGAGGCAATGCGTACGGCACACTTTGCGACGATGATTGCGACACCCTTTGCGACAAGGTTCCTATGAGTAGAATCCTAGTCATAGTGAGTGGACGAGTCTACATACAATACTTCATGGGTAGAGCAGGTCGGCCGTCTTTCTACACAACAATTAACTTATGCGCAAATACCCACTGAGAAAGAAAAGAATCCAGGTCTTCTCCCCCAGATACGGGTTAATAAGTAAGCCTTATATGAAAAAATCGTTATTATATCCGAAGAAAATCTTACAATCTAAAAATATTTTTGGGGAGTAAATATCTCGGAAAAGTTGATAAACCGAAAAAGTAACAAAACCAAACGAATCAATCAATTTTTCTTTTGGATTCTTAATCATGTCATCAAAATTGAATGCATTTCTCTCGTTTACATATCTAAAGTAAGCTAATTTGTTTTCGAAACAGGGGTAAAGTACATATATACTCCTGTATCTATCTATATTTCTGAGATGAGATATTATGAACACTATTTACATTATTCGTACTATTGTCCTCATCTTTGTCGCCATATTTATTACAACGTTTCGACTGTTGTACTCTCCGGCCTTCTTCAGGTGGTTGGAATGTCGAACTGAACCCTTGAAATGATTGCCGAAGGCATTAGGTTTATAATACCCAGAAATTCATACACAGATGTCCTCAAGGACACATGGTACATTGGATAAAGACTTTAGTTATATCCAGTGACAAGACTCAAAGAGTTGTGAGTTCAATATCTGGTTATGGAGAACTTGGATAGGGCAATTAATAGGACATAACTGCTAACTGACATCCATTTGACATGGCACGTGGAACTAGAACAGTCTACCCCAGCGAGCGAAATAAAGGGTTCAGTTCGACATTCCAACAACCTGAAGAAGGCTAGAGCGTAAAACGGGCGAAACGTTGTAATTATATGTCGACAAAGATGAGGACAATAGTCCGAATAATGTAAATAATGTACATAATACCACATCTCAGAAATATAGACAGATACTGAAGAAGGCTGGAGCGTACAACGACCGAAACTTTGTAATAAATATAGCGACAAAGATGAGGACAATAGTCCGAATAATGTAAATAGTATATATACTCCTATATACCGTTTTGAGTTATCTGCCGATATAATGTTTGACCTTACTCAGTAGATAACTTGCGTTTTTACCTTGCCTAAATTTAATCATGATGTTATTTTATTTTCAAATAACTGTTCATATAGGACTTCCAGATTTGCCAATATTTTCATTACAATTTGTTATTTCATTTTTAGAAAATATACAGGATGATTTAAAAGTAAATCTATTATTTTATGCATGATGGATTCCCCTGTCTTGTAAAAAATTATAGTTTGACAGGAGAGTCCATCATACATAAAATATCGAGCTATGTCTCAGTCACCCTGTAGATAAAATATACATAAACTGTTTTAGATTTATCTTGGAAACAGTTGCTGTATAAGGCGGAGTAAAAAAAACCGTTTCCTTCTTTCCCAGTTACATGTTTGTCCGAGTTCTTTCGGCTTTGCTCAAGCTACATCTTTCAATAACATTAAATGCTTCCCAGGAAATAATTTTTTTCTTAATATTCCTTCCTAAAATGAGTGGATGATTTGCCTATGGGTCTTATACGTCATCACATGTGACAGCACTGTTGTTATAATGATAATTCGTTTATTATCTTCAATGTATTTGGAAAATAACAATTCATTTTATAAGGGGATTGAGTGACAGCAAATCATTGCAAAATTTTCTTCAGCCTATAGGGCTGTCTCCCTATAAACTATCTGACTCTAACTGATATGCTCTGTCTTTTATGGCTGTTATATCTGTGATGGAAATGCTGAATCATCCCTTTTCAGGTTTGGCAGAGTGCACAAGTGCTTACAGGGTTAATTATTTTCCATCCTACAACACGTTTGGCACAGTCGAAAAGTCATAAAACTTAACTCTATTTCCATGGAAAATGTTTTCTAATTTCACCAGTTCAGAACTTTACAGCTAAGGCCCACTATGTCATGTACAAGGAATTGAATCCTCCTCATTCTTTTCGTATTAAACTAGTAAGAAAGGACATAAAATCGGAGAGCGTGTTCCAAAGAAGCATTGCTTTGTGAAACAGACTACCGAGACATTGCTTCCTAGACCGCTACACCCTAACCCTTTTAAAAATAATATTAGTCATCATTTATTAGGCATATCCTTTATAGACTAAAATCCGTACTTCCATGTAAAATGACTCAGTTCAGCAAGCTCCGGCTTTGACCGGCTCTTTGGCCTTGTATTATATGAGCAATATTCTTGAAAAAAGCAGAGCTATGGAAGATTTTGCCGACTATGTTTAAAAATTGAAGGTATGCTGGAATATGAGTGGGGCAACAAGGCCTATGTTCGCCTTATTTTCGCTAATATTAAAGCATTGGATTTTTCCAGTTTGCAAGAATCCAATTTATTATGGTCACGTTTCTGGATAGAAGTTAGAAAGAGCCTTAAATGAGTTACAAGGATAGATTAAAGAACATGCTGTGAATATCTTAACAGCTTTGAGAGAAAAACTATTATATTTTAATCTGCAAACTTGATAGCCTCTGTTATTTCGAAAGAATTATAGAAAGCTCCATGGATAAATTAGCGTGGGGTATTAGTTGTTTGGGAAGAAAATAGAAATGAACATACATTCACCATAACGAAAAGGGATACTTTTAGAATTTAAGTTTAATTGGTAATGTCATAAATTTTATATTCAACATCACCAGCGTAATGAAAACGAATTATGTTTAAATTTTTTAAACTTTAATTAAAGAATATATTCGCTCGTTAAGGGTTTACAAATTTAGAATGTTCGACTAAGAAAAGAATTCATAGATTTGAAAAGGTTTTTGTGAATATTCTGTCGATTTTTGATTGGCATGAAATATATTGTCAATCTTCATAAATAAAATCAATTTATGCGTCAAAGGCCATTGTAGACACTCACGATAAGTTGCAGCTATGGAATTGTGTGAATAAAAGATATATTTTGGCATATCAACAAAAATATTTTAATTTTCCTAGAACAACAGGGAGATTGAGAATATTAATAGTCATGAAATAAAGTTAAGTTATTTGGAGATATATGGAAACTGAGAATGTTACCAATGCCATTAAGAAACGGTATTGGCATCAAATGAATATTAACATTGCCAGCCAGCATTAAAAGAAAACCATTTTGCTGTGCCTTCAGTCGATATCCCTGATTAAAACTCTAGATCTACGAAGAACAATTCTTATTCATTATTTACTCTCAAATATTTCATTTTCTAGCCTGTTTTGAAATATTGCTTGCATCATTTTTGGATGGATTTTCTTTATTCAATGAACTGTGATAAAGTTTGTTGAATTATTTAGCAAAATATTTAGGAAAAAAAACAGAAAAACGCATGAATACAATTTGAGAAGATTTGGAAATAATCCCAATTTTTTACGGTGAGGGAGGAATGGACAGTGATTCGTATTGCGGATAGTTAAGTTTGAAACCCTAAATTCAAAACCATCCGCTATGGTTTAAATAGCCTTTTCAACCCGAAATTGGCCAAGTGTGGTAACTACGGATATCTACCTGAATACATGGTCAATCAGGGACAGGAACTTCAAAGGAGTGAGAAGGCCCTGATTCTTAATGGTTTTCATTCTGCAATAAGATTTTTTTCCTTAAATGAAAACAAGCTTGCTTTCACATATATAATGTATCAAATACTTTCGTTTCAAAGTTTCCCATACTTCATCACTTCGACAAACCACAATTTAGCTATGCGACCTGTCCTATTAAAAACACAGGAAGCTTTTATAATTCATTTTAAATAAAAAAATGTAATGTTATGAAATTAAAACTTTGCAATGTGTTAATCATATTTTTGTACTACTACATTCATTGCATTTAAAACAATTTCCACTTGCGTCTTAAGATAATATTGTATCTTTCGTTCACTCTCAATTTTTGTCTGCTTCTCTCACATACTTCTAAAATAAAGAAAATTAAATTGAATTTTATATAAATTCTAATACTTCTTGAGAAACGAGTCTCATAGTTGTTTTCATTTGCCGAGTTAGATATTTGACAAATACTACGTTTGAAAATTTAAATCAAAATTAAATTAAGCAAAAATAAATAAATAAAAAGTAAAATTAAAAAAATAACCAATTACGCTCATATTCAACTACTCTTTTTCCAGGATCCGTACATTTTTTACAGTGATAATTAAATTATACATTTCGTAAGAATACAGCTGCAGTTACCAGGTCCACAGAATATCGAGCATATATGAGAATTTGTTCATATTTAATGAAGTTCAACTCTAGAAATAACGCAAAAGTATGTAGCAACTTGGTCATATCAGAGATGATATACAGAAGACAGGGAGAAGTGGATTCATGTCTTCCACAAAAGTTGAAGGTAAAAAAAAAAAAACACACTCAACCTGACAGAGTCTTGTTTCCGAACACTTAATCCACCATTATAGAAAATACACTCGGTAAATTGAATATAGAGGAACGTTTGCACCTGTTTTTGCATCTTTACTTGACGAGCATTCAGCTAATATCAGCACTGACGTCAGAGCAATATATTTAAACGTGAAGGTGAGTGTCCTTCGAAGAAATACTGCGCGAAAAAGGTGGGGAGAGAGAGAGAGAGAGTGTGTGTAATAGAGAGATTTTTCATCTACTTCCATGCTTTCAGATGAGGCAAGAAAATGTCGTTGGAGATGCTGGCAAATCTATAAATAACATCATAGCTACTTTGGGATCCAGGAAATGAAGAAAACATGTGGCGTCAAAAGTAAAGAGCTGTGACGCCTGTAAAAGAAAAGATGGACTAAATTGCTTAATCCTTTTTTCGTTTAAACACATTGTAGAAATATATGGGTGTTTGTTTGTTTCTTACATAGATATATATTTATATTGCCTTAAACTTGAATTCAGCTGAAAAAGGTTATGAGTAAATGATAGGATATAGAAAGTATATGTCTGTCTATATCTCTGAGATGAATTATTATGATTATTTACATTATTCGTACTGTTATCCTCATCTGCAGTACTATATTCACAACATTTCGGAAAAAAACTTGTGAATATGGCAATGAAGATGAGGATAACAGTCCGAATAATGTAATGTACATAAGAATATGCTTCGCCAGTATTCCAAATGGGGAGTGTTTGATTTAAATTCAGCATCCTTTTTTGTAAAGCTAAATAAAGATATTATTCTTTTATCCATTTTTTTTATCTCTGTCTTGGTTCCAATATTGGTAAATGCAGGCAATAATCCCCCCCCTGCACAGATATAGAAAACATTCCTACAGAGGCATGCTGGGATTTGCTCTTAGACACTAAAAGCTGAGGATTCTTTGTTTTACAGACACAATTCTGGTTTTTGGCCTCAAAGTCAGAAGGCCTTAAACACGTGACTATATCCCATCAGCATATGAAAACAGCAGTGTCTTACAGTTGTCGGAATTTACCATTCTTTTATAAGATTGTTCATTCCTTGCATTAGAGTATATTAACATTTAATTAGTGATTGGAGCTCAAAATGCCAGTTTATTAAACATCCTGCACCAGATCTATCTATCTATCTATCTATCTATCTATCTATCTATCTATCTATCTATTTTATCTTCCAATATCTATCTATCTATCTATCTATCTATCTATCTATCTATCTATCTATCTATCTATCTATCTATCTATATGTATCTCTCTATAGCTCTATATTCCTACTCCAAGAAGGTATTCTGTGGATACACACATTTGATTAGATCACTGTTTCTTTTTACCCAATATAAAAACCTGCGACAAACTTTTTAGCAGAACAGACAATCTGATCCAACAACGGGTACCAAAAAAAGAACGTGTGTGTGTGTGTATATATATATATATATATATATATATATATATATATATATATATATATATATATATATATATATATATATTATAACCTAATAATATACATACTTATACTTGATGTAAATAATTCTACATACTGTAAGGGATTCTACATTTAATTCTTCATAAAATCAATATAGTAGATGAAAAATTAAAAATTAAAAGTGAAAATATTTCAAATGTAGTTAAAGAAAACGTATTCTAAGCTAAACACCCACCAAATATCTTTAAATAAACAAATAGAAAAAAATGCCGTAAAAATCCAGACGACATGCATTTAACGGATGTTAGATTTCATTGAAAAATACATCCCTATCCCCTACCAAAACGTAACTAATAACTGATACATCAAAATACAGACATGATGAACACGCAGACACCCCTTGTCTAGTGGAAGTGGATTTATCTGTAACCTTGGAAACGTGAATTATGATTTTAACTGTGTCTTTAAAACCCAGTAATTTTAAAAGTTACTCCAAAATTCGCTTGAGGATGAAATGGAACTAATGTCTTTAATTTAATTACAAAATTAAATTCGGAGCTTTTAGCTTCCATTTTTGAAACATGGTTAGAACTGTGTAGCGAAAAAATATTTTAAATCAATTAATTTATAATATTAATGCTCTGTAAATTTACATTGAGCACTATTTTGTAAAAATAAAAACATCTATAAGAACACCGGATTATATATCTTACTGTTCTTTCTTTATATTATATATATATATATATATATATATATATATATATATATATATATATATATATATAGGCACACAGAGGATGCTATTGATAAAATGTCACCTAATTTACGCAAAAATGAAAATAACACGGATATCTCATTTCTTGAAATACTAAAGAGTAAATTTATTCAATAAAATCGCCATTGGCTTCAACCAATGCCTTTAAACGACCTCGGAATCTCCTGCAACTCTTCTGGACCTCCTCCTTTTTTTAATTTGGAGAATACCGCTAAAATGCTTGCCTTCAGTTCATCTTTGGTGACAAAAGGAGTTTTGTTCGTCCCTCGCTCAACGGCGCCCCACACAGTTTGTAGAGTTAGGTGGCCAGGTATAAGGTGTGATATGGTCACAGAAATTGTCTGACAGTCATGATTGGGTCATCCTGATTCTATGCGATGGTGCAGAGTCCTGTCTAGCAGTCACCTCTTGACCCAGGGAATCCTCAGTATCTCTCTCTCTATGTATTTATGTATGTCTTTATTTATTCCTCTATCGATCTATCTGCAGGGATTACCATGTAAATTACGAGGCACATTTTGTCTTTGCAATCTCTAATCACATTGTCAGGGTGATTTGCTTTGATTCTTCTATCTTTATGTATTGTAAACTCCAATAAAATTGTAACAGATCTTATCTCCCTAACCGGTCTTCTTCCTCTTCTTCTTCTTCTTCTTCTTCTTCTTCTTATTATTATTATTATTATTATTATTATTATTTTCTTTGATTTCTGGCGTTTACACATTTCTTTCCAGGTCCCGCCCAGAGACCTAAGGTTAGAAATGGCATCATGACACTTTCCACTGACAAAAAAAAAAAAAAAAAAAAAAATTAAATTACATAGATAAAGCCCTTCGTAAGGTGTGGGCTGTACTTGTCAGAACAATTTTTTGTATCTCCTTGAGGCATGGACTTCCAGAAATCCCTTCAATTAGTCTACTGCAATCTTTTCCAAACAGTCCTAGGGCTCCAACTACAACAGGGATTGTTGATGTTCCCATATGCCACATTTTCGAGATTTCTATTTCAAGGTCCTTGTATTTTGACAACTTTTTATTATTATTATTATTATTATTAATAATATTAATATTTTATTTCCTTTGGTTTCTGGTGTGTACACATTTCTTTCCGGGTTCTGCCAAGAAACCTAAAGTCAGAAATGGCATCAAAAAAGGAAAGAACAATATACATATTTCACATAGGCAAAGTCCTTCGTAAGATGTGGGCTATACACGTGAGAACAATTTTCTTCATATCTTTAAGGCATGGGCTTCCAGGAATCCCTTCAATGAGTCTATTAGAATCTTTTCTAACCAATGCGACGGCTTCAACTATTTTTGAGGTTCCCATGTGCTACATTTTTGAGATTTCGATTTCAAGTTCCTTGTATTTTGATAGCTTTTTGAAGATCTTCAACGATGCATTGCAAGTATCATCAAGGAGATAATTTTTTTGTTTGCGGTCTCTAATAACAATGTCTGGGCGATTACCTTTGGTTTTTCTGTCTGTGTATTGTGTAGTCCATAAAAGTGCTGCAGGTCCAAACTCCGTAACAAGGTCTGGGTGTTTTCTTCTTCTTCTTCTTCTTCTTCTTCTTCTTCTTCTTATTATTATTATTATTATTATTATTATTATTATTATTATTAAAACTCGTTCTATTGATATTGACGTTCTTTTATATTTTCAATTTTTTATCATAAGTGTGTAGTGATTTTCTAAGCCCAGATTAGATGTGGCACAAGGCCGAAAGTATGGAGCACCCAGTCGAACTCACTACTCAGTCGTAATTGATCTAGCAAGACACGCCTTCTAACCATTACACTACGTCGAAGTGCCCTTTTATCATAAGTGTGTATATCTATCTATCTATCTATCTATCTATCTATCTATCTATCTATCTATCTATCAACTACATGTCATTACACGTAACTGTTTTCTCATTGTTGGCTTTACCACGTGTCCAGAAATTCAATTCCTTATTTGCTGATTGCATCCTTTATAGTAGCCGTTGACAATTCGCGGCTCGCAAGCCAAAATGCTGCTCTTTGACCTTTAATATGCGGCTCATGAAAATATGTTGACTGAGATCCATTTTTCATCACAGTTAATATAAAAGTTAAACCCAGTTTTATGATTATTTAGTGTGTATAAATTGGGAGCCCATTGGATTCAAACTTATGTTTAATGTTAATATGTATGTAACAAATATGTCTTGTGGCTCTCAATCATCTGAATTTTAACGAATGTAGCTCTTAATTAACTTTGGCTATCTCTCAATTCGCCGCCAACATTCAGGTTCCGGATTAGAAGCTTCCCGTTTCAACCAAACCATCTCCCATTATCTATTCACTAATGCCATTTGCAAGACAAAATCACAGTGAAAGAAAGTACCGATGGCGGGATTATGTTTAAGGCAGACTTCAAATTGCCAGTAAATGACCCACATACTTGATTACCTGACCTTCATCTACGCAAGATATTCAAGAAGACATGCAGAATATAGTTATCAATCTATTTCGTGACTGGCTTATGTTGCCGTTATAGATTGCTGATATGACTTTTTGCGTTTTGATTTAAGGAGTCAATTTCAAACAATATATAATAACACTTTCAAAACAATGAACGACTTGAAACACTTTTGATTTTTTTCATCAAACTATACTGTTTAACATCTCTAAAGCTGACTCATATAAATCGAACTGTTGTATATAAGCTTAATCTCGGATACTTTTACATCTGCAACAGCCAAATTATGGAAATTTTAGAAGGTATAATGAATGTCTCTCATTTTTAGTAAAAATTGTTTAGAAGAACAATTTCTGCATAATATATTTACATACATACATACATATATATATATATATATATATATATATATATATATATATATTTTATATATATATATATATGTATCGATCTGAGGGTCTCGTCGGGCAATAATAAAGTGTTAATGTGGTCATTTTAAAATTAGCGCCCGACGAGAATGCCAGGTCGAAACCGTGATCGCGTATTTTAATTGACCTTCTGATTTTTAAACTTAAAAGCACTACATGTTATTTTTATTTTGAATTATTTTTTCTCGTGTATTGACGACATTTTAATACTACTGTTCCCTGGTCTGTTTCAACTCTGACCATTAACCTTTATATATATATATATATATATATATATATATATATATATATATATATATATATATATTATGCATTTACATAGAGAAAGGGAGAGAAGAAGAGGGAGAAAGCGAGAAAGAGTGAGAACCGTTATTCTATATGCACTGACGGAAAATTAAATCACAAAATTTAAATCGAAAGAACAGGTTTTCCTTGAAAATCATCATTTAAGTAGATCTTTTTTAACTGATAATTATGTAGGCTCAAGTGTTAACAAATATCGCTGTATCTTTTTAAAGATTAAGACCTGCGCTTACATACAAACTAATGTTATTCTTCCTGTCTTGCTATCTATATTGAATGAAGGGAAGTTGTTTTGGAGAACTTTTGAATTAGAATTTCTTATGTCATTTCTGTATTGTGGTTTATAAATTGTGATATATTATGAGAATAGAGGATTTTACAAGCTATTGGTAGTAAGAAAGGTAATGTTAATTGTAACGACAGCTGTTTCCTTATAAGAAAACATTCGATATTCCTTAACCAAATAGTCAATACGGCTGGCAGTTGAAATTTATAAAAGGTTTCTCTCAAGATTATTTTTCAGTCTCTCAATTTCAATTCCTGTCATCACTCTTTTTAGTATTGTTGGGGGTTTCCTTCCTAATCTTTTATTTCAAGTAATGTAGAACGGCAGCATTTAACTTACATATGCTATCCATTTTAACTGTTGCTGTCGTTGAAAGTCCCCAACTGATATCATTTCTGTTATTCGATGCAGGTTTTGGAATTTGATTGTTTAGCGTCAGCCCACACAATTCGGAGAGGATCCTTCTTCAGCAAGATTTACTCGCTCAAAGCCATTTTAATCATTGTTCTTAGAAAGCTGTTGTATACAGCAAACAACTTAAATATTTCTGAAGTAGTTTAAGGTCATGCATGATATCCAAATAAGGCTCGATCTAAGGAAGCTATTGAATAACAGCAATCGAGATTTAAGGTTAAACTGTAGTAGATTTTGTAGTAACTGGCTGTGTGGGGTCAACACTACCTTTTCTATGTTTAATATCCTTATCCTTTGTTATAATTGATCCATAGACCGAGCTATTTCAAGTGTTTGTTATTTACTAATAGATCCATAGAGCTAGGTATTTGAAGTGTTCGTTTATTTAATAATTCCTTATCCTAATTGTTTATGATGGATTCAGGGCACTTTCCATCACTGTTTGTGTTTCAATTGAAGATGATTACGTCGGTTTTGGAAAGTTTATCCTAAGTCCTATTCCTTGGGGCACTTGTTAATTTCCTGTCAAATATCCTGTTCATAACAACTGTGAAAACCTCATTATCAGCGAACTGGCATCAGGAGAGAAAGCAGGATCCTTGTCTTCTATTGGTAGTTTCTTTTGGAATGTTGTATGGAATTATTAAATGACCAGTACCTACCTCTTTAAATCTGTGTTTGCAAATAGCCTTCGCGTTTTTCAACCTATTTCTAATTTTTGGATATAAATCCAAAATGACGCAGAGTTGCCAATGGGCTTAAAGAATTTTGAAGATTTGACACGCTTTCTACACCCAGATTCCCCAGAAATGCTAGACCTCACGTGGCGAAATGCTAAGCCAACGAGTGGACATGGGTTCCCCTGAATACCTTCCTCCCGCTAACGCCTAGTTTGAATACCATGAGGTCAGTGCTTGTATATTTAAGCGAATAGGAAAAGAAATGCTTTGATACAGTCTACAAAATGGCGTTTACGTTTGAGGGACTGAAGGCAGGGGCGACACGGAAAGCAGTACAAAATATACTTCCATGAACACCAATTATATATTATCTGAAGGTAAATACAACAGAAGGTGTCATCAACCAAATGGCACCAACCGAGAAAACATTACAAATAAATCATTTTTTTTACCGATAATTTAAATAATATAAATTGAGTTAGAAAAACAAAAATATAAGACACACACACACACACACACACACACACACACACACACACACACACACACAGAGAGAGAGAGAGAGAGAGAGAGAGAGAGACACACACACATACACACACACACACACACACACATATATATATATATATATATATAAAAATGAGAGAAAGAAAATATGGAATAAAATTCCACTGATCGTAGCAGTAACTTTTAAAAAAAGTGCTCAATAAAAAGTAGAGCAATATATTATCATTATTTTTATTATAAGAGATTATAATAAAAACATGTTGAAAAAGCTTTCATGGTTGAGTACTTTGATGGTACTTCTTCAGTCGATGGTAAGTAACTCGCGGTATATATATATATATATATATATATATATATATGTGCGTGTGTGTGTGTGTGTGCATGTGTGTGTCTATAGCTAAAGAGAGAAAAATAAATGCAAGAAAGATAACTATAATCTATGCAAAATCAGTAAAATAATTCATATTTAAAATGGGGATTGACAAAATTGAGATTTGAGAAGAAATGATCAAAGAGAAGCCACTGAAAAAAATAAAATGTCAATTGATAAAATATTTATAACATTTTAATTCTCAGTAAAAAAAAAAATGACGCCTTAAAGATTTTTATTTCCTGGAAAGATTGGCTATTTCCGAAAAGGAAAAGACAATGAACAATTGCATGCGAATGATTTCACTAAAAAGTTGAATTATGGAAGCGAATACGAAGATACTCGATCCGAGAAGTAAATTTTATTCAGTCTGAAGTATCCTCAAGGGATCAAGTTTGAAATACTGATCATCAAGAAATGTATTTAACATTAAAAAATCGTGAAATTAGATATCAAGTAGAATTAAATTTTAATCCGAGGGTACATTAATCAAACTTTTATGATGCAAAAAAAGAAAGATGAAAAAGTTTCAGGAAAAACATTGAATATTAACCAAAAGATTCCATTAATTTGAGACAATAATCAAAGGGTGAAGAGTACATTGAAAGAAACGTTCTGATATAAATTTTGTCATTCAATTACCCAATATTTTAGTGATATATATATATATATATATATATATATATATATATATATATATATATATATATATATATATATATGTGTGTTTGGGAATGCTTATGGATAATTCAAGGGAGAATATAATCCAGAGAGCTCAAATGTTAAGACAGAGCAAAGCAAATATTAATTATATTGAAAAAAAGACATCTTTAAGGGCTTATTGTGATTACAATTTATTTACTTAGAATCGAAATTCGATTCTTATTCCTCAGATAAATATTTTCATACAATTTTCATAAATTTTTATGAAAATGTTAACCTGAGGAATTAGAATCGGATTGTCTTTTCTTAATATATACATACATACATACATATATATATATATATATATATATATATATATATATATATATATATATATATATATATATATATATATTAAAATGGTGGTACTCGTTTGGAAAAAAAACCTCGAATAGCTCAACTTGCAGTAGAATAAATCGGGATCTGAGGAAAAATGGGGAATAAAAAAAGAAAGAACTAAGAACATTAAACCAAAGCGAAAACAATCGTTCAGTGTTTAAGCTTCAAGTTCAAAGAAAAAAAAACAAGTAAAAAAAACAACTACATAAAGTGCTCAATACACTAAGAAGAGCAAAACCTAAGATAATCCTAAGGAGCCTACCTAGGTTTCACGTAAACTGATATTCAGGGCAAAGCCAGCTGAAAGGGAAAATTATGGAACAGTATTTATTGCAAATCCAAAAATAACCATGACCTGTCAAAAAAAAAAAAAAATAGTAAATAAGACAAACAAATGTGGGTATGTACTTTATTGAACATCCGACAAAAAATATTCTTTCTTTCTTTCAATCTTTTCTTTCTCCGGATCTTTCTTTCTTTCTTTCTTTCTCCGGATCTTTCTTTCTGTCCTGCAAATTTTCGTATACTTATTTTGATATTTTCATTTCTTGAAAATTCAATAGGCTTCTTATATATATATATATATATATATATATATATATATATATATATATATATATATATATATATAATATTCTCTAATAAAATATGAGAATAGGAATCGGGAAACCTTTTTGAGCAGCCACAACAAAATATCGACTAGAAAATTGAGACAGCTATCGAAGATTGAATCGGCCGGAACTTTCTGTTATAAACAATTTATTTTCCTCGTCTATAATGCTATATAAATACATGAATATTTATCTAAAGTTAAACAGGGTGATGAAAAATATCAAAACAACTGTATTAGCTTCAACAAAGTAGTAAAGGAGTGTGAGAATAAACGATTAACCATCAGTTGTAACAAGACAAAATAAGTCTTCATATAATTCCCCATGTCGTCTTTTCACCTGATGAGGTTTTCTGATTGGTATAAAGAATAAATCGAAAGGAGTCACGTTTCTGAATTACACCCTTTGAACAATAAAGAACATTTTCTGAAATCATATTTTCTGCTACATTCTTAGAATATATACGATCGTATTTGTATCTTGTTTTTTTCCCCTTTTTATAGAGTTGATTAATAAAAAAGATGGTACAGAATCAACTTCAGAATGTACGGTGAAAAAGACAATGCAAAAAAGATGTGTGTGTGTGTGTGTGTGTGCCGTTAACATTTAAAAGACTGATATGTTGATAGAACGCGGGTCGTAGAAACGATTTCGCTGTTGATATAGTCGAGAAGCGAACAAGCTGTCATCAGCAATGTCGTTAATTTCATCCAGTATCATTATTTGTTGACGTGATGCAAGATCGGAGCTGGTAGAGAAAGCAAAAGTGCAACACAGTTATTGTTTAATTTTCTTCTTTTTTATGACTTGGAGATGAGAAGACTATTTAGCTTTTTTGTTGTTTTGTTCTTTTTGTTTTTTTACCCCACATGTTCTGTGTATAAATATTAAATTTGTTTATTCGTTCCGGGGTTATATACTTTTTTTCCGACATTTTCTGTCTTGTTTTCGTTTGTACTACTTTTTATTTTCCTAACAATATTATGTCACGTGATTTTTCTCTGAATTATTACTTGAATCGTACACTTATTTTGATATTCTCATTTCTTGAAAATTCTATAGGTTCTTTTTTCCGTTTTCTCTTTTCGTCTTTTTTCTTTCTTTCTTTCTTTCTTTCTTTCTTTCTTTCTTTCTTTATTTATTTATTTCTCAGCAATTTATTATATCGTATATTTCAGGTATTCTCATTTCGCTCCTATTTTCTCTTTCTTTCTTTCAATCTTTCTTTCTCTGGGTCTTTCTTTCTTTCTTTTTTTCTTTCTTTTTTCTTTCTTTCTTTCTTTCTTTCTTTCTTTCTTTCATTCTTTCTTTCTTTTTCTTTCTTCCTGTCTTCCAATTTTTTTTTCCTTCAACCTTTAATTCTTTCTCAGCGATTTTTTATATTGTATTTTTCAGATATTCTTTTTGTGCTTTTTTTCTCTTTCTTTCTTTTTTTTCTTTCTTCCTAACTTTTTATTTTCCTTTTTATTTCTTACACATTTTTTATTTGTTTTCTATATTTTACTGACATATTTTTTTTTTAATGTAGCTTTTTATTACATATTCTTTGCTTTTCTTTCTTTTTTTTTTTTTTCTTTTTCGTTTTCTTTC